GTTAATCTCTTTCTGTTGACCTTGTAGTAGGCAGGCAGTTTAATTTCAGAGGGAGACAAGAAGGATATGATCACTGAATGAAGTACTTCTTTGACGTTGAGTTAGGATGAATTTATACCTCTGTAAGTACGTTAGTTAATACATTTTTGTAGAGTTTTTATTGTGACTAAGTCAACGATCGAATTTAATATTTCACAAAAAAAGGAAACTATTGATTTTAATATCTTATTTGTGTAAATTATGTATAAAAAAATTATATTTTTTATTATGTATTAAATGGTCTAAAGTTATCTATAGTAATTAAATAATTAAAAGGCCAAACTCTATTTTTGTATATGCACATTATTGTTCTCCGATACAAAATTTTTACTCTCAGTCATTAATTTTGATAATTTAAAACTCATAAAAAATTTGAAATTAACAGTCAGGTGACGTGTAAGTTAGGGATGTCAAACTACAACTAGAGGATTTGGTTCTTAACTTTTACATTTTTTACAAGTTTTAAATTCTAAAAGGTGTTAACCGAAAATAAAAAATTTTAGAAAGTATTGATTACACAAAATAATAATGTTTAGGGTGCAAATAGAGAGTTTGGATTTAATTAAAAATATTAAATTAACTTGAATTTTGGTGTGCATGATCTACACGTAAAATACAAACTATATGAAAATTAGTTATTAGCCAGCTCCAATTAACTTTAGGAGTAACCCCAAATAACTTTTGCAGTCCTTTCAAATTTCTAAATCAGCCCCAGTTAACTCCAGCAACAACCACAAATATCCCTAGAAATTGGCATAGCTCTTTTACTTATTTCAGCCCAAATTAACCCTAGGAACAGCCCCTGGTTACTTTAGGAGCTCTTTATATAGATGCGGAAATGCAGCATGCCTTTATGATCCTTATTCAATGAATTATTTAAATTCTAGCTTACATAAACATGTATCTAAGCATAATAACATAACTGCATAACTAACAAAATCCATTCTTTCAAATATTTTTCAGATTTATAACCAGAAAATCATCCACGACAAAGTTTGAGCGTGCAAAGAAGAAGAGAAGTGCAGCTCTGAGGTAAATTTCTACTTGCACGTACTTTAATAGCATTGCATGTCTAAAACCCTTATTTCTTTTTTTTTTTTAACTTCTTCCCTTGCTCGATTTCATCACAAATAATTTTAACAATATAATTCTAGATTAAGTTGGACTAAGTTAAATTAAAGCCAACTTTACCTTACCATAACCAAGTTGAACAAAAGCTCTCCCTTAAACCTTTCTCAACTTTGCTGTAGAAACTCCCTTTTCTTTTCTTTTCTTTTTCCGTCTGGCACCAAAAAATAAGAAGAGAAGTAAAAATGCGTTCAACTAGTGATTTGAACTATTTATACATCTAGACAAAGTTAGTGGCATTTTAATAATTTCCAAAA